TATTTTCTATTTTGCTTAAATTTATTCAGGAATGAACATATATGTTTTTGTATGTTTGTGTTTGTTTGTTTGTGTGTGTGTGTTTGTTTGTTTGTTTGTGCGCGTGTTTGTGTTTGTATGCGTGTTAAATTCCATTTTTAATAGATATGAATAAATCTGAAGCATATTTCAAAGTTTTTTCTGATATGATTAAAAACATTTGAACGGGAATTATTAACTTTGTGTGTAAGCAGATTTTATTTCAAGAGAGTTTTTTATCCATTTATTAATTGATTCATTCGTTTATTCATTTATTTATTTATTCATTCATTCTTTCGTTCGTTCATTCTTTTTGATAAATTTCTAATTTTTGGTAGAATGTTCACCATTTAATTTGTCCTTCAATTTATTTATGAGATTTATTAATTTTTTTATTACACACGCTATTTAACGGCCATGAATAACTCTACTTAATTAGTATCTAATTGTAGTTGTGTTGTTCATGTGTGTGTGTGTGTGTGTGTGTGTGTGTGTGTGTGTGTGTGTGTGTGTGTGTGTTTTGTGCGTGTATATGTGTTTGTGTGTGTGTATATACAATATGACCAATGACGATGTTACACATTTTTCCTTTTTATACGCATTATATCTGCCGAGAGTATTAATATTAATGTATGCAAATGTATGATAATTTATTATCATTATTATTTTCAATTTTTAAATAGAAAAAACCACATATATAGATATTTATTTGTTTTTATGTTATTGCTATTGTTAATAGTATGACAAGAATTTTTGGATGTATTTTAAACTTTTTCCAAGCCTCTGCTAAATAGTTTCACATATATTTAAACACTAAATGTGCCTTGTTTCTATTCGTTTATTCGTTCATTCATTCGTTCGTTCATTTATTTATTCATCATTCGTTCGTTCGTTCGTTTTCAAGTGCCCTTTTCTTCGTACCAACACCAACTTATCAACCATAACTTGGTTCTTTTTTACGTTTTTCTATTAACTATGCTAATTTATGTTCATTTATGTTAATTCCATCTTTCCCTATCCATTCATTTCATACGTGTTGCTTGTGTATGTTTGTGCGTGTGAGTGAGTGTGTGTGTGTTTGTGAGTGTGTGTGTGTGCGGTCGATATTTTTGCAATTTTGTTTCATTTGATATTTCATCTTTCTTAATTTTTTTACTTCTTATACACCATTTTTATGTAGAGGCACACGTTAACAACCGTCTGTCCATCACGTTTCATGATGACGTCATAATGACGTCTGGTGGGTGTTCAGTTTTTATATGTCGTTATTATCCGTGCTACGTTTATTCATTTCTTTTACTTTACATTTCCTTCATATGGGTTTGTTGCGTATAAATTGAAGTATATAAATTAATAATTTGTGAATACTGAATAAATATATACATTCGTAAATGTTTTTGTCTGTTCTTCATTTATGTTAATCAAAATCAAACAACCAGATAACCATGGTGTTGAGTTTAAATTTCAAAAAGTTGAACGGTGTTTAATCGTAATTTAATTGGGGATATCTATAAGAATCTATATATGTTTGTTGAGCGAATGCTGTTGTTGGTGACGATGTTGATGTTGTTGTTGCTGATGTTGTTGCAGTTGTTGTTGTTGATGATGATGATGAAGGAGATGATGATGATAGTTGTTGAAATAGTCAAGGTCATGTTGGGAGTTGCTGCAGTCATTGTTGCTGGCGCTGCTGTTGTAGTTGGAAGCATTTTGTCGCGAAATTGCATATTGTTGTTGTGGACGTTGTTGTTGATGTTGTTGTTGTTGTGGATGTTGTTTCTTATAAGTTTGTAGTTGATGTAAAGATGGCTGGTGATCTGATTGGCTGGGGTAATAATCAACCTGGCCAATCACCTTCGCGCCCAACGAAGACCTCATATCTAATGGCTGGTTGTACAGGAACATCCTGGTTTGTGTTTGTATTTTGATTTGTATTCATTACAACGCCAAAACATACATTAGGAGGAAGTGAGTATGAAATGTTTTTTCTATTTACCCTGCATGTTCTTGGTAGCTGAGCGGGGTAGCCATGTGACGTCTCACGTTCTGATTGGTCAGATTTGTGGTGGCATGGGGCATCGAGTAATGTGATTGGTTGGAGGAGTCTTTGAAAGGATTTTAAAGAGATAGTTTTTAAACTACGAAGCAATGATTCATAACATTCAAAGTGGTGAAAATGTTTTCTAATTTGTGATAGAAATATTTCCCGATGTACTAACTCAACAGATGGCAGTCGAGTAACTGATTTTCAGTGTAGTAACCGATTGAACTGCGTGCCAGGAGTGCATCATTCTTTGGGGAAATTAAAAAAATTTTTGTGGTTAATAAGTTGAAAAGTTTATTTAAAATTTTAAAAATTTATAAAAAAATCATTATTATTGAAATTTTGATCAAATTAAATTACTGATATTTCAGCTTTTATTGGCCAATCAACTGCTTCGACTCTCGCTGCTTCATTTCTATTGGCTGGTTTCAAACTTGGACAACTATTCGATTGGCTGGTGGGATCTTGAGATACGGCTAATGTTGAAGACGTTGACGATGATGATGGCAGAATCAAATTTGTGTTTTGTTGCGTTTGTTGTTGTTGTTGTTTGTGTTGTTGTGGATGTAATTGGCTCTGCTGTTGATATTGAAACAAATTTTTGTCGTCGGTTAAGTTTTCAAGGATAATTTTGTGGCTACTACTACTGCTGCTGCTGCTGCTTGTGTTGTTGCTTGTGTTGTTGTTGACTGTATTCAAGCTGGCCAAGTTACTGTTGTTGATGTTGATGTTGTTGCTGATGTTGATGTTGTTGCTGATGTTGATGTTGATGTTGTTGTTGTTGTTGATGCTAAGGACATCCTCGCTTTGTATCTTTGTTGCCTGTGAAGAAATTTTCCCAGTTTTAAAGCATGAACATAACATGACACAGCCATCAACTCAGATGTACTGCAGGTCAAAACAAACTGGCTGATCACATAAACCATACATACACAGTGATAACAATACATACACCGCGCAAACACACACAAACACACACAAACGCACACACGTACGTCACGTGCAAACTTCTACCTTTCGATTTTGCGTCAGTGTACTCCATTCCTCTTTCTCCTTAGCGATAGATTGCAGACTGTGGAAGGTTTTGACGTCATCACCTTCGCTCGTGTTTGATTGGTTGTCAGAATACGCGCTGCCTTCGTCATATTTTGTTACCTTCCAATAACAGAGATGTATGAATTTAAGAACTATGTGAGGTCCTAAATAATAGTTATTGATACATCGTTCGGAGACGAAGTTAAAAATCAGATTTAAATAAATAGACAAATGAAAGATTAATGAATGAATTGAGAAATACACATCTCATTGCTACCTTCTCGCCATCGTAGTTATTCTTCTTCTCCTTCTTCTCTAGCATCTGGTCGTTGAAATGTGTAAAAATTAATTCAATTATAATTATAATTAATTAAATTATAATTAATTAAATTATAAAAATCAAATCAAAAATTTTTACAAAAAAAAATGGCGCTACTGGGAATGTCGCAACAATGTTTAAGGCCCTGGCATAAACTAAACATACAAAGAAATAAATGCACACATACTAAGCAGGCATACAAATAAAAATAAACTTATACAAACGTTTACACACAAGGACATACAAATTTATATACACTGACAAACAAACACATACAATCAAACAAACAAACACATACAATGAACACATACAAACGAACACAAACATATAAACACATACAAACATACAAACACATACAAACAAACACATACAAACAAACACATACAAACAAACACATACAAACAAACAAACACATACATACAAACAAACAAAAACATACAAACAAACACATACAAACAAACATACAAACCTCGACAATATCCAAATTGTTCTTCGATTCATACGGATCACGAAACTGTGCGTATTTCATGATTATCTGATCCATGTCGGAGCTGGCGTATTGGAATAACCTGAATAGGTAGAAAACATCCCTTGTTGCAATCTCTGAGATTTTTTCACACACACATGCAATCGTGTTTGCGTGTGTGTGTGTGTGTAGCTTAGTTTATTTGTTTAAATAGAACAGTTGATTTGCAATCGACAAGTGTGTGTGTAGTGTGTGTGTGTGTGTGTGTGCATGTGTGTGTGGTTGACCTGTCATTGCTGTTGGTGAAGATGATGATGGCTATCTCACAGCCGCAGAGTATGCTCAACTCGTACGCTTTCTTCATCAGCCCAAACTTCCGCTTTGTAAAGGTCACCTAGAAAATTAAATACCACAAAAATACAAATTTTTTTTCTTTTAAATTTTTTTCACACACACACACACACGGGTGCGTGTGGATGCACCCACACATCATAAAATTGTATGTGATAGTCTGGGCTTACTTAGCATTTTGCCGCCCATATAAAAATATACAATGAAAATTTGTTGGTGTGTGTATATACTGTAGTACAATGTACGTACATACAACGTGTATAATACCTGCTTGTTTCTTTCGTCAAGTATTGGACTGATGTTTATCTTCCTTCTACCCATCCTCACAGCTTTGTTGTTGCTACTACTACTACTATTATTATTATTATATATATTATTATTATTATATATATTATTATTATTATAATTATTTATATTATTATGATTATTATTATTATTTTTGTTGTTGTTATTGTTAATATTTTTATTAAAACCAAGTTCAGTGGTGTTAAAATCTGCCTTCTTCGATGAAGCCGTTTTGGATTATTGATGATGATGATGATGATGAGGAGGAGGAGGAGGATAATGAGGGTAGTGATGATGATGGCGATGGTGGTGATGATGGTGACGATGATGGTGGTAATAGTGTTGATAATGATTTTGACGATGGTGACGATGATGATTTTGAAGGACGTCTTGAAGTTTTTGCTTCTCCTTTTTGGGAACCTGTTAAGAAGTAAAATTAACTTTGGTAGGAAAGATGAGGAAGATGACTACGAAGATGATGATAGTGATGATAATGATGATGGTGATGATGATGATGATGATGGTGGTGATGATGATGATGGTTGTGATGATAATGAGACAGCAGTATTGATGATGATGATGACAGGTCAGATAATGATATCAATTATGCCAGCCCACCATCGCGATATTTTAAGGCCGATAATTCATCATTTTATCTCAGAGGAGGATGTTCATATGTCCATATTTCATCTACACGCATGTGCCAGAAATAAAATAAAAAATGGTCTTCAGAATAGCATTGGTTGAGTTGGTGCTTGCTATGTTACTATGCTGTGTATTGCTATTTGCACAGTAAATTTATTTCAACTAGAAAGAAAAGTAAATAGATTTGAAATCCATAAAAATCATTAAATGATTAATAATTTTTTAAAATAGTAATAATTTTTTATTTTTATTAATATATAATTATTCTTTTGAAACTTACTAGAAACGTTGCTGAAATGAAACTTAAAACGACAAAATTTAACATTTAAAAAGTCTCTATAACTCCAGCTCGATCAAAAAATCTTCTCAAGATGAATAATATATCATCACATTTAAATAACTGTAAAATAAATATAGTTTATATATTAACTTTTGTCTTTCATAAAACCACTGTTAAGTCATATCACAGTTTTTTTGCCATAGTTTAATTTAGTAGCTAGTAACTAAAAATCAAATTCAACCGGTTGAGACATATTATTAAGAAATCGAATTATTCTTCAGAAATTGAATCAATTCTAAATTCGCAAAAGTTTTTTTAGAGACAAATGCCTGAACTTCAAATCTTTTGCGAAACCATTTTAATAAAAACGCTTTTTAGACTAAATATTCTATAAATTATGAACAAAAAATCTTAATAATAAATAATTAAAATGTGAAAACGGTCAAATTACTTTTAAGCAGCAGTTCAAATGATGTATATTAATCCAGTTAAATTTCATGAATTCCCAATACGATGCAGACACTGATGGCGGTGACGCTGGTGATGACGTTGATGATGACGTAGATATTGCAATGATAATAGTAATGATGATGATGATGACGTAAGTGAATTTTAATGATGTTCAAATATTAACCAGCAAAAGAGGTTTTGATCGATGAGGTCAATACATTTAACCCATGACCCTTACAAGTATGAGTATGTAGATGATATTTAAAATATATATATATATAATATATACATATATATATACATGTATATATACCATAATTTGATTTATATATTTCTAAATAAACTGTAATCTGAAGATTTAATAGGTGATCTATAAATAGCCTATGACGTAATTTATTAACATATGGTCAGGATATGACCAATAGTTCTAAAATTAACACACGACGCAAAGAATTGTAGGCTGGACTTGACGAAAAACTCTCAGCCAATCAGAAGCGAGGATTTTTTGCATGGCAAACCAGATCTAAGTTTGTGTATGTGTGCATGCGTGTGTGTGTGCGTTTGTGTATGTGTGTGCATGCGTTCGTGTGTGTGTATTTTATAATATCTGGCAACTAATTCTCAACTCATGTTTACGATTCTTGCTTACAAATATGTCAACTCAGAAACACAATAGAAACATTTAGAAGGATTGCTCTAGAGGAATGAAACATAACTTCAAATATGTACGGAAAAAACCCATAATATGAAAAAATTGACAATGACGTTTAGAACTTAGGTGTCCTCAAATGAAATACGAATCACACGTAAAACACACACGTACACGTACAACACGCATATACCTTCCATATCCTCTATTACGCAATGATAACCAAATGGAAATTTGCTGATGAAATGTCCACGAGAGAGAGCCACACAAAACGAAACTTGATCAGAGGTCTGTGTACATTTTTACACGAATTTTTTACACGAATTTAAGCAAATGTAGACTTATGCAAATTTATCATGGAATGAATAGGTTAGCTCAAAATTGTGCACTTTATTTAAGGATTAGTGATGAAATATGGAGAACGTGATTTAGGCTCTCCAGCAGGCTGATTCACCTCTAAATAGGTTTCAGTCGAATTGTAAAAAAGAAATTAACAGAAAATGTACACTGTGCATGTACATGCAAACCAGAAATGTTGAAAAATGAGAAGAATTTCGTGTTGGTAAGGCGAATTTGAAATATTGGTTTCGTTAATCAAATATTTTAGTGCCTTGTTTTAAAAATGGATGGATGGATGGATGGATGGATGGATGGATGGATGGATGGATAGATGGATGGATGGACGGACGGACGGACGGACGGACGGATGGACGGATGGATGGATGGATGAATTTATAGATGAGTGGAAAGATACTGGGATGAATTAAATGTCACGTAACACCTGTTTGATTGCTCTGACGTCATAACTAGGAGAAGGAGGGTAAACGAGTTTTGTGTGCGTGTGTATGTACGCATGTGTGTGTCTACACGTGTGTGTGCGTGTGTGTGTGTGTACGTTGGTGTTTGAATGTTTGTAGGTACATTTGTTTGCACATACATTAGTGTGTATATTGCTTATAAACTTATAGACCTGTATAACTGGAAAATCACTCAGCCCTAAAGCCAGAACATAATGTAATAAAACTTTGTTCAACATTTAAAAAAAAGGCACTGACGCTAATGACGACGATGATGATAATGGTGAGGATGATGACGATGATGACGATGATGATGATGGTAGAAAAAAGTAAAAAGCCCGACTTGAATGACACTTAATCCATCAACTCGTGCATAGGCACCTCTGATCCAGTGAAATGTATTTAGGATGCATTGCGGATAAAACGGATAGGATTAAATAAGCACGTACACATATACACACGCACGCACACATACACACACACGTACACATACACACACGTACACATGCACACACACACGTACACTTACACACGCACACAATCCGTTTATTTTTGTGGTCGTAAATATGTCGTAATTTAAAGTTTGTTTTTGGAAATATCTTATAAAAATGCATAGATTTATAGAGAAATTATTTAATAAAAATATCATGGCGATGATAGTGGTGGTGGTGATAGTAGTGATGATGATGATGATAAGAGATGAAGATAATGACCTTAGTATAGTATAGATAGTATAGATATCATTTTATAAAAAGACATAGATTTATAGACAAATCATTTTATAAAAATATCATGACGATGACAATGATGATGATGATGGTGGTAGTTATGATGATGATGATAAGAGATGAGAATGATGATGACGATGATGATGAAATCAATTACAACAACAACAACAACAGCAATAACATGATGTTTAAATCTTGCCATTGATAAGCAAATAAAAATATAATTGGCCCGAGTCATTCTAACACTTATGTCACAACAGCCTATGCAAATGAACATCATCCAACTTCAATATAGTTGTTTAAACATACTCAGCAAACAATAAGACAACTTTTAATGTGATTTAAATAATGATTGTTATTATTATATAATTAAATGGGATAAAATTATATATAGCACTGTAATTATAAACCGTGAACTGTAATTATAAACTAACTAACGAAAATCAATATGCACTTCTACGTACATGAATACACACACATACACACGCATACCTGCATATACAATTATACAAGCATACAGGAATACAAACAATGCGTATACAGATACATACAACGCGTATGCACACACAAATGCAAATTGTTAAACACGTTCAGACGAAATTTATAAATATATAAATTCGCACTTACAATAATCTGCGAAACAAACATACATAAATATGCGTTCATCAAACACCTGAACCCATTTCAACCAACGTACTAGCATGCATGCACATATAAAACAATACACACACACACACAAACAAACAAACAGAAACACACACACAAACTTTCACAGAAACACACAGAGACACAACCCTAAAAACACAGCAATACGCCCCAACGGCCACCTTAATATTACGTAAGTGACATCACTGATCAACAATTCTCTCTCTCTCTCTTTCTCTATCCTATTTTTTTCATCTATTTATCTTCTTAACCTTCTTAACATTTTTTGATGAATTTCAACTTAAATTGAAATGGATTTAAAGTGCATTCTTTATTTTGTTTTATTTTTTCTGATCATACTATGTTATTTCTCTTTCTCTCTCTCTCTCTCTTGTTTTCTCTCTTTCTCTCTCTCTCTCTCTCTCTCTCTCTCTCTCTCTCTCTCTCTCTCTCTCTCTCAATCCATCTATCTACCTCTCGCTCTTACCCCATTTATGAGGGTATCAAATAAAATTTTATGGTATTTAATGTCCGTGTGACATGATGAAAGGTAGAGAGGAAGAAGTAGGTGGGGTGGTGGAAAAGAGATGAAAAGCCGTGAAAATGATGAAAAAATTGAGTGTCTGTATGAGTATGTGTGCGTGTGTGTGTGTGTATATATTTGCGTGCGTGTGCGTGTGTATGTGCATGTGTGTGTGCATGTGTGTGTATAAAGACAATTAATCATTAAGCTAAATTGCGCTAGTATTATATTTAATTCTCTTTTTACTGGCTCAATCATTATTCGCCCATTTAAAATTACAAATTAAATGGCTTCCCAGTTAATAATTTATGGCGGGTGA